GACCCCCACAGTCCGGGCCCCCATGCTTCTGTGGCACCGCGGACCCCCACAGTCCAGGCCCCCACGCTTCTGCAGCACCGCGGACCCCCACAGTCCAGGCCCCCACACTTCTGCGGCACCGCAGACCCCCACAGTCACGCTCACAGACCAGGTGCAGTTTCAGGTTCAACCTCTTTCTGGGAACAGACCACTATTTTCTGATCCCTATTAATACCTGTGACAGCATTTATGTACAAGATAAATTCATTTCAATTTCCTTTTTCAATTAATGGCCTATTATTTGAACCACACTCAGCTAAAAATATTGCTCCAATACTATTAATCTTGTAAAAATTAAATTTTCCTCCCTCTGACAGCCAGAGGCCACAGGCTGGGGCGGGAGGGTGGCCACACAGCCCGGCCCTGCCCAGGACTCTGGGAGTGCAGACTCCCCTCTACCAGGACATCCAAAGGCCCCCAGCACACAGCATGCTGAGGCATGGTGCGCCAGGGGCCACGGGTCAAGCAGGATTTCATTGCAAACCATCAGCATCTTCCTTACGAGCTGGGATGACAGACACACACGGACCTCTGTGCCAACTCAAGGATGAGCTCCAGCGTCTGGAGCATCAGCGACCACTTCCCACCTGTCAAACATGACCGTCTGGTTACCCAGTGGCCGTTAACATGCCTCACGTGGGACTGTGGCTGCGGGGAGACCCCACACTCCTGTCAGAGGATGGGGACCCTGGAAGGAAAGCCAGGCCACAGCACTGTGGGGCCAGGAGAGTGCCCACCCCCGCAGCAGGCAAGCCAAACCCTCTGGCCCATCCCCCCAAAACCGAGGGGGCATGGGCCAGACACGGCCGCGGGGGCTCCCACACCGTGCGATCCTGTCCACCTCCGCAGACATGGCCGCAGGGGCTCCAACCTGGGGTCCCCGCATCCGCTGCCGCCTTGTGCTGGGTCAGTCCCACCCAGCGATGGGCTCCCCCCAAGCACGGTCTCAAGCTTGAAGCAAGCACCACAGCCGTGTCTCCCACGAATGTGCCATCCCTGTATTTATGACCAAGAGAAGAAAGTGCTGCCAGTTTTAACTGAAATGCCATGGATCCTGGATGCACCTGGTCTCAGATGCTTTAAATTCGAAAACCTGTGTGCTGAAGAACAGACTAGATGCAACATTACCGTTCAGTACTTCAACGCACCAACTGGACGGCAAGATCCTCTAGGGGTGAGAGTGTGGGCTCCAGCCTCTGCGCCTCCTCCTGGGGGGCCTGCAGGCAGGTCCCCCTCCCCAGCTACCCTGTGCCAGGCAATCCGTCACATGGCTGTCCCACAGTGTGAAAATCTCTTCCTCTGGTGGTTAAAATTATTCCCAATTTTTGCCATCACGTACTTTTTGAGGACCACCCTTATTCTCAACTGTCTGCAAGAACGGTAATTTCTTCAAGGAGACTGCTGAGTCGTGGGAGTGCCTGTTTGCAGGTGTTTGTGTTCCACTGCAAGCTGCATAACGACATTCTGAGGTAAATCTCGGGGTGGTGGGAGACCGAAGCAGCGCCCCCTGGGTCCGACGGCCGCTGTCATTGTGCCGCTTGTCTTCTTAGCCAAGCGAGCGCTTTTGCGGAGCCGAAATGCAGGTGTACGAGCAGCGGATGGCAGTGACGCAGAGCGGACGTTGGAGAACGCGACCGCAAGCATTTCAAGAAGATACGGAAAACTTCCAGAGGCGAGCATGAGAGAGACAGACAGATGGCTGCAGACACCAGGCCTCTCCGGGAGAACCCCGCTTCTCTCAGCAGTACGCCGGCCCGTCTACTGAGGACTTGCGAACCCCCTCACCCTGAGTGGCTACAGGCTGGCCTCTGCCGGGTCCCTGCTCAGCCCGGGTGAGCCTCCTGACCTCCACAGCCGTGGCCTTGTTCCCCAAACACCGCGGCTCTGACCTGCTGGGTGAGGCTCACTGGACACGCTAACCTGCTATGGTACCTGCTCAACTTCACTGGTTTTCTCTACCCTGTTTTCTTCGTCACACATTTCTGCTCTTATTATTTCTTTCCTTCTGCCTGCTTTGGGTTACTTTGCTCTTATTTCCAAAATTTTCCAACGTAAGCATTTAATGCTACAAATTCCCCTCTATGCGCCACTTTAGGTGCATCGCAAATCCTGAAGGTTCAATTTGTCTTTCATGTCGTCGCACCCATGTTTCAATCTGCTCTGTGAAGTTCTCTTAACTCCCGGGATATCTGCAACTTTGCTGTTTATTTCCAAATGTCTGGGAAGCTTCCAGATACTGTTTCTGTTTATTTCTCATCTACCTACTCTGTGCTCAGAGAACACGTGCGTGGTCTTCGCTTCACGCCAGATTTCCATGCACATGTGAGCATCCCACGGTGACATGATCTGAGACCCCACAGCCAGGCTGGGAGTGGCCAGAGCGGGTGCATAGGCAGGGTCCTCGGAAAGGCGGCCCCCAGGACGGCCCGAACCCCAGTGGGGCTGCTCATGGCGAGTCTGCTCGAGAGTCTTCTTCCAAGTCTCCTTGACCTTCACTTTGAAAGACGTTTCTGAGGGAACCTAACAGAAGGTGGCAGCCACCCTGCCTGGTCCCATGGTGGCTGACCGCGCCCTGCAGTGTACGACGAGCCTTTTCCGTGGCTGCTTCTCCGGTTGCTGTCCCACCAGCAGCAGGGGTCACACCGGTGGGCAGCAGTCCTCGGTCCCCCTGTGGCGCCGGTCAGGGACAGGACACGTCGAAGCCCCTGCTGCCACTGATCTGTTCCGCTGGCCATCAGCGGTCTTGTCTGCATGTTCGAGTTCTGACACTGGGCACACACCCCACCCAGCTACGTCCTCCTGAGGACGGACCTCCTCATCCCTATGACAGGCCCCCCTCCCCGCGATGCTCCCCACTCTGAGGCCAACGGTGATACCCATGCAGATGCTCTCAGTGCCTCAACGTGCGCTTGCAGGGCATGTTCTCCTTCATGTTCTACTTTTAAAATACCTAGTCTTCCACTGCAGGGTGGCCATGCCGACATGAGGACATTTTCCGTGAGGAGAAGGTGAGCAATGACCGCCATGGACCGCGGTGGCTCTCGTGGCAGAGACCAGCGGCTGAGGATGGCAGGGGATGACAGAGCGTCACAGCCTGTCTGCAGTGCAGTCATGATGAGCCTCGGCTGGAAACTTGGGATGGTAACTGGATCTACGCACCTACACGTTTCATCAAACTTTTAAAGATTTCGGCCATTATTCTTCGGGTATCTGCCCATCTCCGGTCTCCCGTCCTACTAGGGTTCCAGTTACACGTGTGCTGGCACCCTGGAGGCGCCAGCCCGGGCAGGGACGTCCCATTTTATTCTGAATAGTTCCCACTGCTGGGGCCCCACGTTTGATTATCCCTCTTTTTCCTCTGCAGCGTCTGGCCCGCTGTCCACCCACCCGGTGCATCTTTCATTCCAGCTACCATGCTTCTCATCTGCACAAGTCCCGACGGAAGCAGAGGTTGGGTCGCAGAATGGGGCAGCAGGAGGTCGAGGGTGTTTTTCTGGCGAGGGCGGCGGAGAGCAGGCGGCCAGTGGGCCGAGGCAGGAAGGCAGCAGGCATGGGGGCTCTGACCTGAAGCTGCCACGGCTGGCAGGAAGCCCGCCGGTGAGTGTGGTGGAGGGTGGGTGTGCCCGAGGACAACGACCATCTCAGCCACAGAAGATACCACCGAACTGGCACAGACGCCCCAAATTTAAAGACTGAGAACTAACCTTTCTAACCACGTGCTGCTCCCCAGCCCTGCCCGCCCTTGGCGCACAGGCACCCCCAACCCACACCCCCTGCTGCACACCAGGCTCCTGGCAACATGACAGATGTCAGGGGAAGGGCTCCGGGAACAGAACACCAAGGAAACTGAACTAACCGAGCAGCTCTGAGGCTTCCCCAAAGATGGGGACCATGAGGCCATAGTCCTCTGAGCCAACAAACAGCTACTCCAAACCCACGACACATGTTCCTGCAAGAAGCCTCAGCCCTCATCACCTGTGCCTCCCACAGCCGCTGCACCCCAGCAGGGCCCCCTTTCCAGGTGTCCACTGTCCCCCACACCAACAACTCTTGCACAGAAAGGACAGGTCTCTGTCCCGCTTCCCTGCCGGGGAGGCCAGACCCCCATAGAGGCTGCTTGGGCTCACAAAGGGACCGGCCTGCACCCTATGAGCAGGACCAGGCACCAGCAACTCTGCAGAACAGATCCAGGAATGGGTGTAACCCCTCATCTCTGTAAGGAGCCCCCAACTTGCCCTCCTCAGCCCACAGGCCACGGCCCTGGGCCCCTTCTTGGCTGCCCCCCTCCCGTGAACCCCGTCCATGCCACTGACATTCCAACTTGGGCGTGTCCGCGTGTTCTGCCACAGAGAGGGGCCCTCAGCGGCCACTTCGTCAGGGAGGGGCAGCTCCCACAGACACGCTGCCGGCCCAGCGCCAACCCCGGGGCACAGAAGTGCACTCACTGTGAAGTGCTCCTGGGATTTGAAGTTCTCGTCCAGGTAGACACGGGCCCGGTTGTACTCCTTCATCGCGTCACTGGACAGCAGCTCTCTGGAAGGGAAAAGTGAGTTCTTTAGTGCACAAACCACACAGGACCAGCGGTCGGGGGGCTAGAAACTAAGACCCACTGTGTGCTCAGGGCAGGCAAGGGCTGCTCGTCATCAGGGCGGGGCTGGGCATCGAGAGCAGGCTGCTGGTGCCTCACGACACAAAGGAGGGTCTCTGAACACCCATGAGAGAGCTCCCCCGGGCTGTTCTTCTCACTGTCTCCTTTCACGACCAGGAAAAGCTTCAGTGGGCACCTCTCCATCATCTCAGCAAATGTGGCTGGAAAGGTGGCCACTGCCCCCAGAGCCCCGTGGACACACCAGAGCGGCGGCGGGAGGCCTCCCCGCTTACCCGCCAGCCCCACCGCTGAGGGCCCCCCTCCACCCCTCCTGCCAGCTCGGCGGCAGCGGGGGCAGGGGCACGGCGCCCTGGGAGCTGCCAGCATGTAGCTCACACGGAAGAGGGGCTCCAGCTCTAAGAGGCAAACCAGAACGCACACGGAAAAGAAGGGAAGAGGATCAAATGGACCGTCCAGCGCTTCGCCGCCCGCAGGAACGAACCTCGGACGTGTCCCGGGCAGGACGCAAGGTTCAGACACGAAACGCCACCCTAACGGTCATTACACCTGGCGCCACGTAAAAATTAACTTGGTGTGCAAAGAAGCAGCAAAATATGACCCACAATCTACAAAAAAGCAGTCAACAGAGATGGGTCAAGAAGGACAAAAATTAGCTGAAAGGTGCCCAGAAGCAGGTATCGTAAATATGATCAAAGATTTCAAGGAAAACATAAATGTGAGGAAAGGCAAAAACTAAAACCACAAATCAAACGTCTCCAGCTGGGTGGACGTAAACACAGGTGAAAACCTAATGAAACAAACAAGCGAGATCAGTGACTACAGAACACAGCGACAGAAATTACCCAAACTGAAGCAAAGCTAGAGGAAAATGAGCTGTAAGCGCCGAGGGGACCTGGCTGACGCCACACAACCAACCCCAGGAGCCGGGCTCGGAGAACAAGAGAGGGGAAGGAGGAAAATTTTTAAGGAAATAGCAGACAAACTTTTTCCAGATTTGATTAGAATTAGAACCCCACGCAAGACAAATACAAGGGAAATCAAACTAAAACATGACAGAATCAAGTTGCTGCAAACCAGCCAGGAAGACAAAATCCCGCAATCAGGGAAAAGACACATTATACACCAAAAATGGAGACAAGGACGACGGCCCAGCCCCCGTCAGAAACCACATGACACAGGGCAGCGCAATGATGCCCTTTAAGGACGAACACAGAAACGCCGGCAAGCCCGAGTTCCATTCACAACAAGACCTCTCTCCAACCTGAAGACAAAGACTTTCTTCAGACAAACCAAAGCTGAGAACTTGTTACCAGTGACTGTGTGCGGATGAGCGTCACAGAAAGCCCTCAGGCTGAAGGAACATGGTAGCAGACAGAAACCGCGTCTCCGCGAGAGACCCGACAGAGAAAGTGGTCAGAATATATGCCGTCTCCTCTCACTCTGTCGTCTTTTTAAAAAGCTAACAGTTGAGAGCAAACCTAGTGATGGCGTGTGTCCCATATGGTGTGGGTAGAAGTAGAAAGAAGCTGACAGCAGCGCCAGGACGGCAGGGGGACGGCAGAAGTCACACGTCTGCACTTGTGGGGCAGGGACACGGGGGCAGGGTGGGGACTCGGGGTGGGGGCTCGGGGACGCGGGGCAGGGGCTGGGACGGGACGCAGGGCCTCCTCCGGGAAATGCCTGGCTCTTTCCACGTGGTCCTTCTCACGGCTTCCGGGGCCCTTTCCTGTTCTCAAGTGCTGGCTTTTGTCACCCAGCTGTGTGGCAGGTGTCCTTCCCAGGTGTGGCTAAACATTTACTTCGTGTACAGTGTCTTTTCTTTTGATAATTTTCATATTATCATTCATCATTTAACAAATTTGTCAATCTTCTTTGTAGGTGACTCTTGTTGCACCTTTTTAAGAAATCTCTCCCTGCCCCAGAGCTGCAGACACATCGTCCTTCATTTAGTCTCAGCGTTGTTATGACTGCGTTTGACATCTACGCAGTGACAGGACTGAGATTCATGCTCGTGTGTGGGGCGGGGCGCGTCCAGTGTCACCTCACGCAAAGACACCAGCGATGCGGCTCATGGCCGGCTGCACATGGCCGGGTGATGCGGGGCGGGGTCCTCCTGCAGCCCATCCCCACCTGCACCCCTAGCCCTGCCCTCACTGTGCCCCAAGGAGCCTGCAGCCCAGGCCAGGGGGATGCCCACCTCATGCTTCTTTAGTATTATTTTGGGCACTTGTGGCTATTTAGCTATATCCCCTTGCTCTCCCACAGTAATCTTAGTATTAGTTTAAGTTTAAAAAAAAGAAAAACATTTTGATAAAAATAGCCTTAAAATTACCTTGTTTTGGGAAAATAGCACATTACCCCCAGTTTAACAACTGAAAACATGGATGGCTTGTGTCCACCCACGAGGTCAGGGGCCCCGAGCAGGACTGAGCGAGGTGACAGCAGCTGAAACCCTCCTCTGGCCACGCGGCAGGCGCCGGGGCTCCGAGTGCAGACCCAGAGGCCCACACGCAGCTCCCTGCGGGCACGGTGGCCTTCAGTGACCAGCCTTGGAAGTCAGCAAGTGTCACCTCACACTGCTGGCAGGAGCGCTCACGGTGCCCGGAGTCCACGGCTGGGCGTGGACAAGGCTACATCCAGGGGACACGGAGGGCAGGCATAGTGGTGCCTGGGGGCAGAGAGGAGTCCTGGGCACTCGGGCCACGGGCAGAAGGAAGGCAGGCGCCACAGCCGCTCCTGCCACCAACAGCTAGACGGGGACCCTGCTTCTCAGCGCCGGGCCTCACAGGTCTGCTTCCAGCCCAGCCCCCATGGGTCCACCTCCCAGGCCGTGCGGATGCCTTGGCGCCCAGTCCCAGCAGCAGCGGGGGGTCCTCTGCTCCACAGGGCGGCAGGGTGTGCGTGCGGCGCTCAGCACATGCCTGTGGCTACTTCCTCCCGATGACAAAGATTTCACTCCCCAAAGACGACTGCACTCCGTCCCCATCCCACTGTGACAAACACAGCTGTGAGCTGCTGGATGTCCATCTGTCCGTCCACCCACAACAAGGGCAGGATGGCAACCATCCCACAGATGGGACACTCCACCTGGACCCAGGGCTGAAGTCTCCAGGCCCAAGGTGCCACCATCACCTTGCATGTGCACACCCCCAGGGACGCGCTGTTCCCCTCCGCGTCCCCCAGGGGCACTCTATTCCCCTCCACGCCCCCCAGGGGCACACTATTACCCTCTGCCCCGCCCCCCCAGGGGTGCACTATTCCCCTCCATGCCCCCCAGGGGCGCGCTATTCCCCTCCGCCCCACCCCCCCAGGGGCATGCTATTACCCTCCATGCCCCCCAGGGGTGCGCTCTTCCCCTCTGCCGCCCCCCCCCCGCTAGGGGCGCTCTATTCCCCTCCATGCCCCCCAGGGGCACACTATTACCCTCTGCCCCGCCCCCCCAGGGGTGCGCTATTCCCCTCCGTGCCCCCCAGGGGTGTGCTATTCCCCTTTGCCCCACCCCCCAGGGGCATGCTATTTCCCTCCATGCCCCGCAGGGCTGCGCTATTCCCCTCCACCCCCCCCAGGGGCGCGCTCTTCCCCTCTGCCCCCTCCCCCCCGCTAGGGGCGCTCTATTACCCTCCATGGCCCCAGGGGCACCCTATTCCCCTCTGCCCCACCCCCCCAGGGGCACCACGTTCTGGGAAGGGCGGGCGCACACCGCGGGGACTTACTTGACAAACTTGTCCACGTGGGACATGGAGGCCTCGTAGTTCTTCCCTCCAAACTCCTGGCAGTGCAGAGCCATGAAGTGCGGCTTGTGCGTGTGCACGACCTGGGGAGGGAAGCGCAGGACAGGCCGTCAGAGGCTCCGCGGGCCGCACACACACCCTGTGCAGGAGGCGACTGCCTCCCCAAATGCACCATCGCAGAGGCCAGTCCCACACAAGTGCTCTGATGTCACTGGCAACCCAGCCCCCAACACTGTTTCCTGCTGGGACCCTGTGGCCAGTGAGCCATCTGTAGCCTCAGGGACGTGGGTGGTGCTGTGCAGCCCTGACAGAAAGCAGCTGCTTCTAGTATCCAGCCAGGCAGAGGCCACAGGGGAGCTGGAGGGCTGGGCACAGGGGATGAGGGCGTGGGCGCCAGGCCTGCACGCCGTGCACTGGGGAATGAATGGCCCACGGCGCGGCCGGGAAGCACAGCACAGTGGTGGCGGCCGCTCAACCGGCAGGCGGCGTGCAGCGTAGCCCACCGGTTCTCAGCTGGGACATGAACACACAACCCAGAGCTCGGATCTGTTAAAAAAGTGAAGGAATTCTGACAGGAGACACATGTAAGCGGAGTGGGAGAAGCATCCGTGCTTGAGTAAGCTGCTCCCGGCTTGCTCTTGGTTCCTTGAAAATGGGCTTACCGGAAGTTCACTAAGGCAGTTCCCGATTCCCATCACACACAAGCATGAGCACCTCCCACTGCCGACGCCCCTCAGGGCTCAGGCTGGCAGAAACATGCGACCTGGAATGGGGCTGGGGCAGGGGACAGGCCCTCTGGTGTTGCACACGGGGGGCAGCACGGTGAGCCCTGCCGGAAGGACAGGGAGCCAGGCCACACACCTCTTGTGTGCGCCAAATTCAGGAACACCCAAGCGACTGGGATGCCAAGCTGCCCAGCGCCCCTTGGCAGGGGCGCTCAGATAGAGAGTTCATGGCATTCCCACAGGATGGTGCACCTCCCTGAGGAGGAACAACGGAGATACCAGTTTTGGGAATCACACCCTGGTGGGCACTGGCGTGGGCGCCCCAACACCTGACAGGCTCTTGACCCCGAGGCCGCCCTACACAGTGCACTTCTCCTCAGCAGCACAGCCCAACGCTCTTCCCAGAGGACCAGCCTGTCCACTCAGGCACGAAGATTCTCCAAACAGACAACTCTGCAGTGACAACAGAGACGGCATTTGCCACACTGTCCGTGGATGCACGACTCCGTGTCTGTCTTGCTGGGCCAGGGTGGCAGAGGGCTGGGTCGGGTTCCAGAGCTGCCCACGTATCTTCAGAACACAGACAAGGCCTCAGGGTCGGCCTGGACAAAGGAGCTGCCATGCCAGCCCTCTGCCTCAACGACATCAGTCGTAGGCCTCAACCCCAGCGACCCCGCAATGTTCTGCCTGGACAGGAGGAGCCTCCGCTTGGCCCCCATCACTCAGAATCCAAAAGGGAAGATGGCTGGAAGTGCCAGGGCTCTGGACATGCCCCTGGCACATCCACACCCTCAGTGGCCACCCGTGGGATGGACTCAAGCAGCAGGTGCTTCAGGGTGTGCAGAGTGAGTGTGGCAAGGGCGTCCGTCTGGGCACTGGCCCCCACCAATCTGCACCTCCATCTACAGCAGCCCCCACCCTCCCAGGCCGAGCCTCTGTCTCAAGGACATACCATGGGGTCGTGACCTCGGATGGTCTGGGTCTGAGACCATGGGTTAACAAAGCCCTTGGCACAGCCTAAAGACTCTGATGAAAGGACACTGCTTTCCCTTCATTCTCCTAAACTGGCAGGGCTCCTCTCCCGCACTCCACACCCCTCCAGAAGGCCTCACTCGTCAGCCAGGACGGCGGTTTTGAAAGGTGCCCTGAGATGCAGGGCAGCCCCCCTCCCTGGTGTGGGCTGGATGCAGCGCTGCCTGAGACAGGCACAGGTGAGAGCATGGAGGGTCACGGTGGCCACACTCGCTGCTCCTCCCTGGGCCTCTCCCCCTCGGCCTGAGGATGCTCGCTCCGGAGGAACCTGAGTGAGCGGCAGGTCCTCGAGGACAGGCCCAGGCCAGAACAGCCACGCGAGCCAGCCCTGAGTCCCTGACCCAGAAACCGTCCATCTGTCTGTCCCACAGCAGTTTGTGCTCTCCAGCCTGCAGGACCCTCCTAACCATCCTTCTACTCAAGCTGGGCCCTCCTCTCCCTCCCCCTGCTGCTCTGGGCAGGGCCTGGCCACTTGACCTCACTCCCGAGGGACTCCCCTCTCTCCAGAGCGGCTGGGCCACCCTGTGAGGCCCAGACAGCAGTTGCCCACACCGTGCACCTCTTCCGGGTGACAGGGCCTCACTGTGGATGAGACGTGTCCAGAGGGTGCTGGTCCTGGCCCCTGCTTCCTCACTGTTGGGTTGGCAGCAGCCCCAAACTCACGAGGGTACAGGACATTTAGGGGATCGGTGCTGTGAGGTCAGTGACACATGCCTTCCAGCATTTGTCACAGCACCTCCAAGCCTATCCCGACGCACCTATCAGCCTGCAGCCATGTGGACAGCCGCGCCTTCCATTTCTCCACCTCCTGCCCCTTCACTTCATTCGAGGTCTTAGACCCAGACCCAAACACCTGGTGATCTGTCCTGGGACTGCACACCTGGCCAACGGCATCCCATGGCGCTACTTAGGACATGCTGCAGTCCACTGTGCTCCGCCTGGCCTCCAGTCTCTGAACCTGCCCCACGCACAACACCGCACCCTGACTGAGCCGTACGTCTAGGGCAGGAAAGACCTATGTTCAACATATCCTGGATGGAAAACAATGATTTTCCAAATTAAATTTATCATATTTGAAACTAAATTTTAACTGATCATAAGTTTAAACGAACAGCCAAAAAAGGGACTCCCATGATTTTATCTCTGGGACCTCCGTTGGCAGTGACATGCTCTGAGCAGTGACCCCAGGACACTCTCCGACAAGCACGGCTCAGCTCTGATGACACGGGCACCGACGCCGCGTCTCCCCACGCCGGCACCGCTCCAGGCACAGGCCGTGGAATGATCACCCTGAACTTCATCGGTGGGCACAATCGGTGTGGTGTGGCCCCTCCACGTGGAGAAATACGTATCTGAGCCGTAAACACACTCTCATTCAGCCGTCCACAAAGATCCCATTCATTTACACCAGGGCAGCCTGGACTCCCTTAAAGCCACCATGGGTTTCAGACACGCACAGAGAGGCCACCCGCGGGAGGTGCAGGGCTGGTGGTGGGGAGCGGGCATGCCCACGGAGCAATGGCCGAGAGCGGCACCAGGACGCACAGGGGCTCACAGAGGCTGCGGGGGCTTCTGCACACAGCAGCGGGGCCCCACGGGAACTGGGCGCACCTGGGAGCAGAACCAGAGGCGCGGCTCACGTTCCAGGGGTTCCGGACGTTGCCCCGCAGCCGCCGCCTGGCTTTACTCAGCGGCTCTGCACCCTCCACCCCCACCAGCTCCTCAGGCCTCCAGAGGCGGTTCCTTTTGCAGATGCCCCCCGCAATGCCCCTGGGGAGGCCACTAATTCCCCGCTGGACTCCCAGGACACTTCTCCTACCTCCTGCCCCATGTGCTCACTGGCCGCCCTCCACGCCCGCCGTCCCCCCAGACCGCGCGCCCCGCACACCCACAATGGAGCCCCGCGTCGCTCACCAAGCGCTGGACGTGTCTGGCTGCACGTTAGGATGGACCAGGCCCCCAGGTGCCGCCTCCAGCACTAGCGATGCCCAAGAGTACACACTGTCCCCTACGCTCAGAAGACGCTACGCAGAAATGTGATGTTCACAGATGAAGAGTCGTGTGTCATTTGAAAGCAGTTATTAAAACGAGACCTTTATCATGAAAAGTTTTAGAAGAGAAGTAACAAACGACCCTGCAAAGAGCTCAGCTGCAAACAGCAGCTGACGGTGTCTCGACCCCACAAATCACACTCCCGGCAACAGTAGGCCAGCTCTCCATCCACCGACTAAAGACGAACGTGTCGCCATGCTCAGGGAGCTCGCGACGAGAGTCCTCGCCCCGCTCTCTGGCCACCGCGGGAGCAGAGCCATGGCCGTGAGCAGCCTGACGCGGTCAGTTGGGCCACGGGCAGGCCCCGTGGCTGCCTGTAAGCAGCTACAGCCTCGCCCAACAGCACAAGCCCTGGCCGGGACAGGCGATTAGTGCCTAACACGGACTCAAATGAAAACACGTTTGTGTCTGTGCGCTCATGATGACACCAAAACATCCACTCGTTGGCCATCTTGGAATCGGGATATTCCTCTGAAAGGGAATTTATTTTTCATTCAAAATCAGCAAAAATAACATTTAATTGTGCGCTGCAGGTGTGGGCAGTCTGTCCTTCCTTGGGAGCGACGGCTGGCTGTCTTGAGGGAAAGCACACCTGTTCTTCTGCAGACAGGCTCCCGCAGGACCCCTGATGGCGGCCACCCGGGGGGGGGGCGGGCGCCACAGCCCGTGAGAGGGGGCTGCTTCCCAAGAGGGGAGGTGCACAGCGTGTACAGAACCCCCGGGCACTTTCCATGGGCCGCATGGCCCCTTTCTTGCTGATGCGGCCGGCTCGGACTCTAGGATAGCCAGGAGCTTCCTTCAGTCCTCAGTGCCTGAAGACATGGATGCAAAAATCCACCCGCCTTTCTCGTACCGGGAGGGTCTCTAGACAGAGGAGGACGAGTCTGTCCTCACGGGAACGTCCCTTTGGACAGATGAGGGAGAGACACTGGGAGCAGAATAGAGGCTGCACCGCGAGGGCGTCCCGCTAAGTGGGATGACAGACAAGCACTGCGTGGTTTCAAATGTGTGTGCAATCTGAAAACGCCAAACTCCTGAAGCACAGAGTGGAGGGAGGCCGCCAGGAGCTGGGGCGGGAACACCCTGCTTAGGGGCCAAAGGACGCACGGCCCGGGGACCTGGCGGCCAGCACCCAACAACATGCCACGTGCCTGTGGACACCTGGGCCAGGCCAAGGCAGGCCTGACATGTGGCCAGGGAAGGACGGGGCTTGTGGAGCAGAAAGGGGACAGAAAGGAGGGGAGGCGGCCCTGGGCAGCTGCTGACCGAGGAGA